TATCGCTTGTTTCTCTGTGATTGTTGATTTGTGGAGTAGCTTTAAGGCTTCTTCGATTTCTTTTGTTATGTTTTGTTATATTGTTGTTTTGTTAGTGTGGATATTGTAATAACATCCAAGGAATCAGAAGCAGTGTTTAGGTGATATTGGATATATGTTAGTGTTATTGAATGTAATGTGTACGAGTTCTTCTTTGTTTTTTGGTTTGTAGTTGGTGGCTAGTATGGATTTGTGTGGGTTGATCGTGATTCCTGTCATTTTGTAAAAAGAGTTAGCCGTGTCGATTAGTATTTGTAAGTTTGGTTTGTTTTCTGCTATCCATAACGTATCGTCCATGTATGCAAGTACGTTTTGTTGTTTGCTAAGGCATGTATATTGTATGTGTGTTGGTTGTAGTATAGTTGTATTCATTGTGTATGTGGGGTGATTTCTGTTGATTCGAGTTAACAAGAAGTCATAGTATATCCTCCATAGTAGTGGAATTATGGTTTCCCCTTGATCTATTCCGTCTTGAACGTGATAGTTGTTGGTTAGTCTATAGTTTGTAATGATGTTATTGTGTCTATGGGATAGTATATTGTTTATGATGTTTGTTATAGGTTCCGGTATTTTGATGCGATGTAGTGCTTTGATTAAAAGTGGTATATGTACTGAGTCATAAGCTTTGCTCATGTCCTGCGATAACAACCATAGTTCTTTTTTGTTTGTTTGAGCATCTTCTATTATATATTGAAGTGTATGTATTGGTGTTGCGGTGGAGGTGTTTGCTAGAGCTACGTAGTTGTTGGGATTCAATATACTGTATTTGGATAGAATGGGATCAAGTCTTCGTACAATGATTTTTGTAAGGATTTTTCTAGTATGTTCGATTAGTGTGATTGGGCATGTTTGGTTTAAATCTCCTGTAAATGTTGATTTTTTTGATATGGGGTATATTGTATTATATTTCCATGCAGTTGGCACATCATGTAGTATCAGACAGTTGTTTAATAGATTTAAGATTGTGGCTTTCGCTTGAGGGCCTAGATGTTTTAACATTTCATTTGATATTTTTGAGGGCCTAGTAGCCTTTGTGTTGGGTGCTTCTTTGATTATAATCTCTAGTTCGGAGGATGTAATCTTTGTCATGATTGTATTATACCATATTGGGTCTATTGTTTGAATTAGTTTGTATTCGTCTGCCCATTCTTTCCATAGTTCTGTTTGAGTTGGGTTTGATTTTGTCCAGTGTTTGAAATGTTCC